GGAATTGAGCATTAAGGCCTGCAGTGTGAACGTAGCCTTTGAGACCTGCATTTCCCACCACTCCCCCATCCCCTCTGGAGGATTGTTCATGTCTCTCTCTGTAAGCCTTTCAGTGCTGTCTTTCTAATCTCACACTCCCTTAAGAGCGTCGTCGCTGTGTTTTTTTATTTATTGAATAAATGATCTTAAGTCTGCTTCAATAGTCACCACAGTGTGTTCTGAATGTGGGTCAGTAAACAAGGGACCGTGACAGATGTTTAGTAGAAGGAAAATACGGGAAGTTACAGGTAACCCTAGTAGCCAAAAGTTACACAGTGTGCCTTTAAGTGAAAAACTATATGATTTCCTCTCAGTTCCAGTGTTTTTGTATGTTTTTTCTTGAAATTAATTATATTTTTTGTATTTTTCTATCCTGGTTATAACAATAAAATGAAATAAAATCACTTATTTGCTTTGGTTCCTTTAGTTTTGCATTAACAAACTCAAGCCTCTCAAATACTTTACAATACTATTTTATCTTTATAGCATCCTACAAACATAAAACTGACTGAAGTCGGACATCCCAAGTTCCAAAAACTCATTTCAGGGAGATGCCCCCCCCAACACACACAGACACCCTGGAGACAACAGACTCGCACCGTGCCCCATACATACACAACTAAGGCCAGCAACTTTTCATCAACTGTTTATTAACTAACAGTAATTTCTTAAACACTAAATAGAACAGTATTGGTCTTTTATTTTTCAATACTTTTAATCTTGTAGCCTTGAACATCAGTTGTGCTTTCTGTTTTTTTATGGGACTTCAGTATACAGTGCACCTCACTACGGTGTCATCATTCCTCACCATGGCCGGTTCTAGACAGGGGCCAACAGGGGCCAGTGCCCCTGTAGATCATGTCCTGGCCCCTGTCCTGAAGACATAATACCAAGCGATTATGATCTGCACTTGAACAGACATGGTTACTGATAGGTCCTTATGATCTATTTCATTATTTTTCTTTACAGATTCTGTTTTACTAATTATTCAAAAACAATAAGGTGGTAGCTTCAGTGGGATTGAGATAGGATCCCAGTTTTCATCTGCTAAATGATTTTCTTTTAAAACAAATAAAAAGAAATTCTCAGATTTTTACAGATGAATTAAACAGTTTTTCTTTAGTTCTAATTCAAATTTATAGAAAACTGTAGTTTTAACTCTAAATTAAGTCAAGAAATATGTAAAATTCCTAAATTATAAATGTAAACAGACCTCATAAGAAATAGAATTTTTATTGAACCTGATTGAAAAGAAATGTCACTTCTAGGGGTACCTACCATTCACATATACCTACCTCGTAGCGACACAAATGGTGTGACACTAAAGTTTGTTAAACCAATAATCACTCTTAGCGGAAGTGTCTGACCCTTTAATGTTTGTAACAAAGACTCACTATCCACCCTTTGGCAGTTTTGAACTGCCTGAACCTGTTTAATTGCTGCAATGATGCCACCACTCAACTGTTTCTTTAACACTAATGCCCAGAACTTAAAGGATAAAGCCTACCATAATAAAAGCGTGTCAGCAAGTTTCCATGAAAGGTCCTGAACCTGAATCTGCGACCGGGGTTACATAACCCAAAGGGCATTTGAGCGGCGGGCGCAGCAGAA